TAGTTTGAGGACCCCTGATCTACAGCCTCAGAAACCCACAGGGGCAGTTCCACCCTGTCCTACAGGGTTGCTATGCGTCAGAATGGACTGGACAGCAGTGAGTTTCCTTCTTTCTGTCTTCCCCAGAATCCTTTCGCTAACCTGCGCCTAGCATGAAAAATAAAACCCATTACTATCGATTCTGACCTAGGACAAACCCACGGGTTCACAAGCTTGCATGGGCCCATGGGGTTTTCCTGATCATGGTCTGGGCAGAAGCAGGTTGCCAGGCCTTTGTGCCACTGAGGGAACTTGAACAGCCCACTGGTACATTTGTCCCTGAGTGCCCAGTTTGTCCCAGCCAGGGAACCCCATCCCCGTAAACCTTCTCAAAACCCTTCCTCAAGTTCCCTGCTTTCCCTACATGTATTTTTTTTTAAACCTCAAAGGAAAAGGGAAACTTGCTGATCAATCACTTCCAAACCAAAGCAGGAGGCTCCCCCTCCCCCGTCCCCCCCTGCTTTCCAAGTGCTATATTTGAAGGAAAACAAAACAAATAAGCAAACAACAACAACAACCACAAAAGTTGACTCTCTTTCAATCCAGCCATTAAAGGGAGCCTGCTGTGCTTCAAAAACAACTAACTAAATAAAGGTGTGACCATTCATTCATCGCTCAGGAACGTAAGGTGAGAGCTCGCTATATCAACCAGCAAAGTGGTCCAGCGACTTTGACTTCGGGGAGAAACAACGCCCTTTGTGCTCCTGGTTCATTTCTGAAGTGGGGAAAGGGTGGCACTAAGTGTCCCCTTGAAATGTGCAATGGACCCACCGATGAAACACCCTTTTGGTAGCTGTTGGGGTGGGGGGCTCTTAACATTTCTTTTTCCTGACACAATGACAGCTAATCAGGTTCATCTCTCCACAGCTGAGGTACCCCATTGCCCACCCCATCCTCCATCCCTCCATCCTGTGCAGGCAGTGGGGAGACCCGGGTCCCCAGGTTGGCTCTGACAGTACTCAGTGTCCCAGCACATGCTAATAGGTGCCTGGTCCTCTGTTAATTAGCCATTAAAAATAGGTGTGGATGGGGAGGAGTCACACAGATCCTACCTCAAGTCCCACCATCGTCTCTCGAGCAGGGAGGAACAGGTTTGGATGTGACACATCGAGCTCAGAATGACATGTCAAAGGGAGCTGACCTCCTAGGTCTTTTCCTGGACAGAGCCCATGCCCTTGGAGGAGGTCGGCAGCCCCTTGCTGGACAAACAGCCTCCAAGAGGCACTGCAGGAACCACTCATGAAACATTAAAATCAGATGAGGCTCGAGGGTCAGTCAGCTAGAGCCTGAGTTCTAGGAGCCTAGGAGGGAATCGTTGGTTAGAGATAATGCAGGGAAGTGGGGTCTATTTTGCCCAGGGCTGTCCAGGGGACCCAAGTCTCATCTTTTAGAATCACCAAACACAGGTATCTCCTGCAGAAATAAGATGGGAAGGTCTAACCGCCTCTGGAAAAGATCACACTGGTTCTTCCCTGCAGCAGAGGAGAGGAGAAAGGCAGGCCTGCCCTAAGGAATGTGGATGTCCAGGCCTCAGGAGGGTTGGCAGCGGGGAACAGCAAGGCCAGGCAGATGGCTGCTGCTGGTGGGCATGCTGACCTCACCCCTTCTAACTGCTCCCACAAAGGGTCCTCTTGAAAGAGGCACTTCTCTGCCCTCAGGATCAGCCGCTGTTGCCCAAAAACCATCTCAAGGGAGGGCTGCACACCGAAAGGAACTCAACCTCCCCTTTGCAGAAAGCAAGCGTCTTTACGGAATTATTTCAAGGCATGTGAAACTGCCCTCCCGGCCCTGGGAAGGCAGTACATTCTTTCTCCTCCAGTCTCCGAGGGGACACTCCACCATAGTGTATTGTCTTTTTCCCCTGCTCCCTCCTTTCTTGATCCCCAGTGCCCCAACCACACAGCATTGTGTCCCCAAACCTCTCAGGACCAAATGGACAGACGCTTGCCTGGGGCATGGGAAAACGGGATGGGGGAGGGAGCGCTCGGGTGACACCAATTTTACAAAATGCATTGTGGTGAGGAGTGTGCAGCCTTTTGAGTGTCCAAACACCGGTGCACCACACACCTTCCATGGGTAAATTGGACCACACCGTATGCAAATTAGCTCTCAACAAAGTTGCAACACAAACCAGCAAAAACATTTCCTTGGCACGGCAGGCAGTGACTTGGAAAGAAGAGTCAGGTCACAGTATCTGGCATCCAAGAGTCCACAAGGTGCTCATTTACAAACCCCCCACAACAAGCCCCCAAAGGAAGAGGCCCAGGCAGGATACTGCTGGGCTCCAATTACCCAGAAGCGAAAAATAGGTTTCCCCGACCTGCCCAAGGTCACTCATGAAGTGTCTCAGATGGCCCTCTCATCTCTGTCCCCCTTTTCTCCTCCAGTTACAGGGATGGGCATGGCCCCCCACCCAAAAGGCGCCAATCGGATGGCTTCCACAGCACTGAGCAGGCTGGACTGCAGCTGCTGGAAGAGGTGCTGTGGGCTGAATAAAGTTAGGAGGTGAATTTGCAAGAGCAGCATCCCGCATTTACATTATGGTCTGAGGACTGGCGTCCATCTCTCCCCCTAACCCATAACCATCTCTCTCTTTCCCTCCACCCCAGAGGGAAACTGGCCCCCAAACATTTCCGAAGCCAGCCCAGCTAAAGAGGGTGGTGGGTAGACCTGTGGGCAGGCAGGGGACAGAGGCATCACCACAGGTTACAGCCGGTGTCACTCATACCACAGCCAGGATCCAAAGGTCTGGCTGCCAGTCTCTGAGGGTAGTAACCAGAGGAATCAACCCTATATGAGGTGACACAGGCAGAGCAGCAGGCAGTTTTTTTAACCTGCAAAGAACTCTGACCCCAGCAAGAAAGAAACCCAAAGAAAGATAGGAGGGAATCAGCCAGTTGGAGGTCTGCAGAGAAGCCAGGAGCACAAGAAGCGGGGCTCGGGAGGCGGGGAGGGGGGGGGACGAAGGCTTGAGCTAAAGGGGACGGGGAACATAAGAACAAATATCCATATGGCTGCTTCAGGAGGTAGCCTTCCCACGAACAATTCCCTCTCCGCTTCCAAAAGCAACAGCGTGAGGGGAAGAATTTTCACTCTCAAAAACTCACCTTCACACAACTCACTGTCCCACCTGCCCACTGTATTTGAGAGCCTGGCCTGACCACAGTCCATCTCCCACAGTTCCTGTCAATGCACATAGCCAGCCCAAGAGCAGAAGGGATGCTGAGTAAAACTTTACTGCCGGAGTGACAGGGTGGGGTGGCACCTCAGGGTGAGGATGACCGAGGGCCACAGAAGAATCTCCTTTTGAAAACAGCCCAATCCATAGACCCACGTATTGTCGATCCTAGACTACCCACACTTGATGGATTGACGACAAAATTTGCTAAGGAATACCATCTTTTCTCAACACTGGAATGATGGGTGGGGGGTGGGGAGGAATTAATCAGTTCTTTCAGGATGCCCAGAAGTGTCTTAGTGTCTTTATGCTTCTCTCTCTCTCCCTCAAGGCATGAGCGATTACTATCCAGAGGAGCAGCGCGGAGGGCTTTAGGTCCAAAGGATAGCATGCAGGGGGCTGAGAGGATTTCAGTGTGTTCAGCTCCAAGTGGGTTCCTGCTGGGCAAACCCAGATGCAGGGCAGGGCTGGGGTGTGGTCATGGTTACTAGGCCAGTGCCCACACCATGTGCCAGAAAGAGAACCATCTCCTGGGGCAGGATTTGTTCCCTGAAAGGACTCCACTGAACCACATCTGGCTATCAGTCAGGAGCGAAGGGTGGGGTGGGGGAAGCTACTTTCCATTCCCCAGGTCTACCCTTACTGGGGTTGTGAGCAAATGACTCTAGGCCCTGTTGTCTTCCCCAAGGATGGACTCACTTCCCTGAGACTAAAAACCTCAAACCAAACCCACTACCATCAGGTCAATGTTGTATCTAGTTACCCTTTGCTTTTCAGCAGGAGCCTCGTTGGGTTGCTAATTGCCAGGTGGGCTCCACGCCTCAGGAGCAAGGCCACACTTGGTACTCCAGTCAAGGGTTCCAGTCTCGGATACCCACCAGGGCAGTTCTACTCTGCCATATAATGTCGCTATGAGTCGGAATTGACTCGATGGCATTGAGTTTCCAAGATTGTAAACCCTTCTGAGAACAAACAGCCTCATCTTTCTCCAGCAGAGCAGCTGGTGGGCGTCAAGCACAGACCTTGTGGTAGCAGCCTAACAACTAAGAAGGTGGACTAGAGATAACCCCATTTCGAGTTGCTGGCAGGCAGATGCTGCTGGCAAGGAGGCAGCCTCCACGCCCTCCCTCCGAGTTACAAGCAGTGAAAGATGCCCCAACAGGTTTAGTAAGGCAAGAAGTGTTAACTCCTGGTCTGCCTACTGGGCTTGGAAGGACCAGTCTCCTGGTCTCGGCAGGATGCAATAAAGAGACTGTCATCTGCATTTGGTCACTACAGAATGGAGAAACTGCCAGTCCCTTTTCTTCCCCCTAGAAGCAGCTTTTCGGCATCGCCTCCTCCCAGGCTGAGCACACAGGCAAAACCGCCGGCTGCCTTCCCTAAAACGCTCCTTACTCTTTCCAGTAAGGAACCCCCAACACGGGTTCCTTTCCTAAGGAACCGATGTTCTTGTTTGACTCAGAAAACCAGATGCCACAAGCAGCGCTTACCCCAAAGTGGCCACGGGCGGGGCAGACAGACTGTGTCACATTCCTGGGGGAAAAAACCCAACTTCAGGGACTTGAGTTCTTACTTTTCAATTCCCCTTCGCATCAACACATGCCTTTGGAGAAGAAGGTACCAGCTGCCTCGGATGGATCAGTATGTGAAGAAGTGAAGGGGAATCTGTGTCCAGAAGAGGGTCAGGGAGCAGGCATGAGACGAGGAAGGGGGTCACGGCGAGCACGTTCAGGGAAGAGATACCAAGGGGAGACTGGGGGCGCGCCTGGGCGCTGACTCTCACCTGTGGATGTTCATCTCCCTGGGCGGACGGTGGGCCTTGTCGTAGGAGACCTTGGCGAAGACGCCAGCCACAATGACGAAGGCAATCACGCCGCAGGTGATGTAGACGGTGAAGTTGGTCTTGTCCTTCTCAGGGTCGTACTTGTTCTCGGGCCCCGGGGACACCACCTGGGTGCTGGGCGTCTGCACCCACACGGGGCTGTGGTAGTTGGTGCACTGGCGCTGGTCCAGCTTCTCGTGGCGCTTCTTGCAGCAGAAGCGGTAGTAGCAGGTGCCGCAGCAGTACAGGTAGCCGCTCTCGCTGTTGTTACACTCGAACTCCTTGTCGTACTGGCCGCTCACGTCGTAGTAGCCCCAGCACGTCTCGTAGGTGACGGCCG